GTCTTGACCTCATCCCTAGAATAGCAAAATAGCCAGGACAAATATGTTGGCTCCTCTGAAGCAAGAGAAAGGGCCACTGGTGTGAAGGTCTGGGGCATTTAGCAGCTGCCTGAAGAAGGTAGAAATAAGCCTGGGGATTCTCTCAGAGGAGCCATACCTGTTTACTGGCTATGCAGGGTCCTTAGAGGGGCTCATCTCTGCAGTTGGGAGAGAAGCGGCTGTAGAGAGGCTTCCTTCCTTATCCTTGGAAGATGGGTAACATTTGGCTAATGCATCAACTGGACATAAAACCAGAAATAACTACCTTTTATAGCCTGGTAGTTTGCCACTGTTGGAAAATCCTAAATATAGTAAGGTATATTGAGGAATGCACTACAAGATGGCAAATAAAAATTCTAGCCTATCTAGAGGAATTTGGTAAATGGAAGAGATTCAGTTGAAGTAGAGTTAATGGGAGAAAGAAAATAACAAAAAAAAATAATGAAAGTATTCAATGAATAGATGTGGGATAACTGGGTAGATACTAGGAAAAATAAAGTTAAATCCCTACTTTCTTCCTTAAACAAAACAAAATCCAGATGGATCAACGATTTGGTAATCCTAGTACATTTCTGTTGTCCATTTATTGACAATCATTCAACACTTTCCCCCCATTCTCAATTATCTGAAATTCCCTCCCCATTCTCACTCTCAGCTGATGACTTTGCTCCTATTTCACTGGTAAAATAGAAGCATTCAGAAGAGAGCTTCCACTGCTTCCTATCAATGTATCTTCCACCTATGATATATTGGGTTGTTGGTAAAGTCATGACGCATTTTTACAATGAAAAACATAGAAACAATATGTCATTACTTTTCTGACAACCCAATATGTTGCCTTTCCTCCACTTTCTAATGGTCTATGCATTTTGATAGGTCAACTTCTTCACTGGTGCACTAGATCCTATTCCTTTTCACATACACGAGTACATCCATCCAGTGACTTACACTTTCTCCCTGCTCTCTACTGGATTATTTCCAATGTCTTACAAAAACGCTGTTGCTTCCAATTATTTGTTGCTGGTATATAGAAATATTGTAGATTTGTGTATACTGACCTGAGGATAAAGTTTTCTAAGGTGCTTGCATTATCCAGGAAGAGGTAAAAGTATTATTTGATACTAGACTTAGAAAGGAAATATTATAACTGAAATACTATATTATATTATATTAACACTGAAAACTATAAAATACTGTTGAAAGAAATTAAAGACTTAAATAAATGGAAAGACACCCTGTGTTCATGGATTGGAAGACTTAATATTATAAAGATGGTAAAATGGGCACAACCCCAAATTGATATACAGATTCAATGGAATTTCTATCAAAATTCCACTTGTCCTTTTTGCAGGAAAAAATAAGCTGATCCTAAAATTTATATGGAACTTCAAGGAAACCTGGATAACCAAAGTAATCTTGAAAAAGGAGAACTAAGTTGGAGGACTCAATATTCCCCATTTAAAAACTTACTACAAAGCTACAGTGTGATATTGCATAAGAATGAACATAAATCAACGGGTAGAATCTAGAGTCCAGAGATAAACCTATATATCTATGGTCAAATGACTTTCTATAGAGTTCCAAGGCTATGCAGTGGAGACAGAACAGTCTTTTCAACAAATGGTACTGGGACAACTGGATAACCATATGCAAAAGAATGAAGTTGGACTTCAATCTCAAACCACATACAAAGATTAAATTAAAAATAGATCAAAGATCTTGGGCCGGCCGAGTGGCGCGATGGTTAAGAACTGGCTTGGGACGCCAGAGGGCCCCGGTTCGGATCCCACATATGAGGGCCAGTGACACTGCCCTCCACAGCTAAGATGCTGAACAACAGCTCAACCTGGAGCTGGGCTGCCGTGAGTCGCTGGCGACGGCGTAGGCTGCAGCCCCTGTGGCACTGAGTTGCCACGGGCTACCGTATGTACCCAGCAGCCAGCCTGAGTGGCCAGCAGCCGCAGTGAGCGGCCGTCCAGAAGCCGGCGACTGATCTGCCTCGCCCGGGAAGAGCGCAATGATGGTGCCAACTTGGGCCAGTAAAGCAACGTCCTCCACAACTAGATTGAAGAACAAAACGACAGCAACTTGTCTGTTCCCCTTCCCCCAATTCCCCGGCACTGTTCCAATCCCCCCAAATTCCCCAATAAAAAAAAAATCTTAAAAAAAAATATAGATCAATGATCTAAATATAAAGCTAAAACTAAAAAACCTTTATGAGAAAACAAAGGGGTAAATCTTCATAACCTTGAATTTGACAATGGTTTCTTAAATATGATACCACAAGCACAATAAAGGAAAAAACAGATACATTGGACTTCATCAAAATTTTAAGCTTTTGTGCTTTAAAGGACATTGTCAAGACAGTAAAAGACAATTCAAAGAATGAGAAAAAATATTTGCAAATCATATATCTGGAAAGGGTCTAGTAGCCAGATATAAAGAAGGCTTACAATTCAACAGCAAAAAGACAAACAACTTAATTTAAAAAACTTGAACAGTTATTTCTCCAAAGAAGATACACAAATGGTCAACAGGCACATGAAAAGATGGTCAAATGTCATCAGTCATTAGGAAAATGCAAATCAAAACCACAATGAATACTACTTCATCTCCACTAGGATGGTTATCATTAAAACAAATAACAAGTGTTAACAAGGAAGTGGAAAAACCAGAACCCTCGTACACTGTGGATGGCTGTAACCCAAAATAATTGAAGCACTTGAACAGATATTTGTATGACAATATCCATAGCAGCATTATTCATAATAGCCAAAACTGGAAACACCCACATGTCCATCAACTGATGGAGAAAAAAGAAGTGGTATTATTCATATGATGGAATTTTATTTGGCAATAAAAAAGGAATGAAGTACTGGTATTTACTACATGTATGAACTTTGCAAACATCATGTTAAGAGGCTGGAGGCATAAAAAGACACATATTGTATGATTCCATTTATATGAAATGTCCAGAAGAGGCAAATCTGTAGACACAGAAAGTAGATTAAGGGTTGCCAGGGGCGAGAGGAAGGGAGAAATGGAGAGAGACTGCTCACTGGGCACAGGGTTTCTTTTGGGGTTGATGAAAAAGCTCTGGAATTAGATAGTAGTGATGGTTGCACAACATTGTAAGTATACTAATAGCCCTGAATTATACACTTTAAAATGGTTATAAATGTGAATTTTACCTCAAGAAAAGATATTAATCTGAATACAAACAAGAGTGGTTTCCTGAAATCAAAGGGGAAAAAGAGATATTGTGGACATTCTTTGAACTGGCATTTCTTCCTCTGAAAATTTAATCTCCACCTTAGCCAGTACCCTCCTTTCATGATAGAAATGCTCCTGAGTACAGGAAAACCCTTAAAGGGGAAAAAAGTAATCAATAATTATTTGAAAGCGAAATCTCCTAACAAAGCATCACAGTGATTGCTTCCAGGCAAACCAACAATTTTTTACCCCAAAACAACATGAAAAGACAGAATATCACTGACCAACCACATTAAGAATTAACCATTAGGGACAAAAAGATTTCATGCTGTAAACCAATGTTAAAGCACTGAGTTAGGGAGTCACAGGATTTAAACATTCTAATTCTAGTTCTTTCCCTAATATTTAAGAATCACCTTCGTACACTGCTTTCTTATTATAAAACAGAACAAATTTCTGGTTTTTTTTTTACCATACCACTTAGAAGCAAGGGCTTTAATAATTGTTGTATGATGAACGAAAGGTTATTAGGTGAAATTAAAATAAGAATCTTGGAGAACAAGATAATTTTTGCCTTTTCTCTCTTGTGTCTCAGTCTCATTACCTGAAAAATGAGAACAACATTTTTTCATGTTATATAACAGTATTTTCAGTATTTTCTTCACAGGTTATTAGAAGTACTAAATAAATTAACACAATTAAGTTTATAGAAAGAGTACCTGGCTCAGAGTAAGTGCTTAATATTTAACTATTATAATTAACTATTAATTTTTAAAGATTTAATGACCTTTTCCTCTACTAAATCATTTGTGTGTTAATAGATTGGCTAGAGAGGGAATTTTCTGAGGGTGAGGCAAACACTCTTAACTATAAGAAGTCCCCAAAATGAGATGACATCATCTGAAGAACAAACACTTCTCAATTTTAACAAAGCAAACTGTGGTGAGAATGCAAATACTTTAGCAGTGTCAGAGTAATATATCTAATTAAAAAGAAAACATGATGTTGGCATGTCTGATTTAATTTCAAACTCTTTAAAATATTATGTGAACAGACTAAGTTTATTGTGTGTCTTAAAATGGAAGTTCTACAAGGGAAACGTTAAACACAGTTATCATATGACCTAGCAAATCCATTCCTAGGCATAAACCCAAGAGAAATTAAAACACATATCCATGCCAGAACGTGTACATGAATGTCCACAGCAACATTATTCATAATAGCCAAAAAGTAGAAATAACCCAAATGTCCACCAAATGGTGAATGAATAAGCAAAATGTGGTATATACACACAATGGACTATTATTTAGTCATAAAATGGAATGGAGTACTGCTACATGCTACAATATAGATGAACCTTGAAAACAATATGCTGAGTAAAAGAAGCCAGACACAAAAGATCACATATTGTATGAGCCTACAGATATGAAATATCCAAAATAGGCAACCTAGAGAGACAGAAAGTAGATTAGTGGTTGCCAGGGCTGGGAGGAGTAGGGAATAGAGAGTGACTGCTAATGGATACAGGGTTTCTTTTTGGGGTGATGAAAAGGTTCTGGAATTAGACAATGGTGGTGGTTGCACAACTTTAAATATATTAAAAATTCATTGTTTTGTATACTTTAAAAAGATGAATTATATCTCAAAGCTATTATTAAAAAAAAAACTGTGAGGGAAGAAAAAAATGTCCTTCTTTGGATTAGTTTCTCTGTACCTTTCTAAATATTTATTGTGAGTGCTGTTGATACCTTTTCTGTTTTGACTTGGGGGAAGTAGATGAAGTATGGCTGCCTCTGGCTTGTTCCCTGACATCGCTGCCACTCGTAGAATCCATCTGCTAAAACAACACAGCGTCTTCCCTTTCCCAGAGGCACCTGAGGGAAAATGTGAGCAAAATATGGTCTTAGTGATAAAATCATGTTTCATGGACTTGAGTTAAAATCTTCAGTATTTAATTCTATGTACCTCACTTTTCATATGTATAGTCACAACTCACACAGATGTTGAAAAGATTAAATAATGTACATAACAGCAATAGCTCTCTAACAAATAGGCACTTGTGGTAGCCAGTATCCAAAGTTGGCTCCCCAATGAGCCACGCATCCCAGTATTCACACCCCATGTAGTCCCCTCCACACAGATTTTGGGCTGGGCCAATAGAATGCTGCAGAGTTATGCTGTATGGCTTCGAAGGCTAGGTCAAAAAGTCTTGCAGTTTCTGCTCTGCTATCTTGGATCATGAACTTTGGGTAAGCCAGATGCCATGTAAGAAGCCTGATAACCCTGATAACCCCCAGCTAAGCATGTGGAAAGCCTTCCAGTTGTTCTGCCAATCCCAGCTGGGGTGTCAGACATGTTGATGAAGAAGCCATCTTAGACATCCAGCCCCAGCTGTCATCTGATTATAACTACACAAGAACCTCCAAATGGAAACTGTCCAGTTGAGCCCAGTCAATCCACAGAGTACAGGAAATAATATAGTTTTGTTTTAAACCACTAAGTTTCAGCATGGTTTGTTACACAGTAATAAATAAAACGGCACTCAACATTAACAACTGGGAACACACTTTAGGACCTTAAGGAAGGTTCCAAAGAGAAGTTTATTTCATTTCTCAGGTATATAAGGCACTATTAGCTCTGTCAGAAAAAAAGTACAGGATATGTGCGTTTTACCTAGATAAGCTACTTACCTTGAAGGACTGTTTCTCCATTATGGTATCACTACGACAGTTGGTAGTGTTGAACCGCAGCTTGGAAGGATCATCTTCTTTGAACCAAGATGGGACCAAGCCCCAACGCATGGGAGCAATGATACGCTCAGATGAGTCTGCACCCTGCCATGGAGAAAGGTTAAGATCCAGTGAGAAGATAATAATGACATTTAGAAAACCAAATTTAGCACATGCTTTACATTACTACTAATATCAAAATACAAAGAATAGAGAGAAGATTATTAAAAGGGAAAAAGATTCTTTTTGAAAACAATTTTAATGATTTATGATGTAACTTGTATTCTTTAGCAATCATATTTCCCAGAATGTAAGATATTCTGCTTGGGTAGGTTAAGGGATTCAAAGAGGTTTCATTCCTGTGAACTTTTAATTAGTGCCTACTATGGGAGAGACATAGTGCTACGCCCTGCACTTCATGCGGTCTCAAGCTCTCAAGAAGCTCATGTTACAGACAACCTATAATACAATGAGGTACATGCTGTGATTAAGGGATACACAAGGTGTTATAGGGGAATGTGGAGGAATGCTTAGCCTCAAAAGGCTTGCACTATAACATGTGAGGGTACACAAACATAAAAATATTAATAATATAAAATATTATAGGTTAAGGGCCATATAAGTGATACATACAATGAGTGTCAAAGCAGTTCTGTGGCGCATGACCTGTGAAGTAGGGGGAAGTATCAGACCCTCAAGAGAGGCAGCAGGGGAATAGGTAGGGTGGATGGATTCTTGAATTGGATCCCACAAGCTGTACAGAATTCAGACAAAGAGATGGGAGGAAAGATAGGATACAAAATTAGATGAGCAAAGAGGCCATGTCAAGAATGTGTAGGAAGTGGTTTTGTGCACAAAAGCAATCGTGAGGAAGCTATTTTTAGGAGTGCCTGCTCATAAGGTTGGCTTTCAGTTAGCATCTGAGAACTTGGATATTGAATACTACCAACTTTCCATTACTGATAAGGATGGTTTATTGTGACTAGTTTGTACAAAAGATGAGATTTATGTTGAATATCTGCTTTCCTTTTGGGAGTCTGGAATTTTGGTACTTGCCAAGCAGCAAGTGCTTATGTGATCAGTCCCCAATAAAAACCTTGGTCCTGGGGTTTCTAATGGGCTTCCCTGAGCAAACACTGCACACATTACTACATTTTTCACTGATGGAGAAGTAATAAGCTTAGCGTGCCCCTTCATAGGGAGAGAACAAAAAGAAGCCTGTGCATGAATTTTTCCAGATTTCTACTTGTGTGTTTTTCCCTTACTGATTCTATTGTGTATACTTTCACTGTAATAAACCTTAGCCACCAAATGCCTTATATGTTGAGTCCTTCTAATGAATCTTCAAATGTGGGGGTAGTCTTGAAGCCCCCCACACATGGTTAAACTTTTTTTTGGTAATTAGCCCTTGAGAATTTGATGAAATCTACAGATTAAAATGCACATATACACTATTTTGCATGGCATAGTACATTATAGGTTGGAATAAACCAGTATTACAGAGTGCAGTTTGGGTGCTAACTAAAATGGTTTTAGGGGTCTGGTGACAGTAGAGAAACTAAAAGACATCCAAAAGATAGGGAAAAAAATGAAATTGTGGTGTAAATAGAAAAAGAAAACAGGGATGATTAAGTTTTCAGGCCCAGAAGAATGAAATAATGATGGCACTATTGAACAAAAGAGAAAAAAATGAAGAGGGGTTTGGTTTGGGGAAAGATCACATGTTGAATTTCTGATAATAGTGGCAAGTCTGTGGCATTTTAAAAGAAATCGTCGCAAAATCTCCACCATTCCTCCCACTGAGAGCTGGGAGGTCTATGTTCCCTTCCCTTGAATCTAGATGGGCTATGACTCGCAGAATGTGACACAAGTGACACTATGACTTCTAAAGCTAGGTCAGAAAAGGTTTTTCAGCTTTCTCCTTGTTTGCTAAGACATTGCTTTTGGAGCTCTGAGCTGCCATGTAAGAAATCCAACTACCCTAAGACTGCCATGCTGTGAAAAAGCCCAGGTTGCATAGGGAGGCCACGCATAGGTATTGTGGTCAACAGCCCAAGTTAATTCAACATCAACTGCCAGATAAGTAACTGAAGATGCCTCTAGATCAGATGCTGGCAAGCTTTTCTATAAAAGGCCCGATACTAAAAACTTTGCAGGCCATAAAGTCTCTGTTGCAACTCTGTTGTTATAGGGACAAAGCATCCACAGACAATAGATAAATGGATATTGCTGTATTCGATAAAATTTCATTTAAAGAAATGGTCAGAGGGCCCTAGTTTTCTGACTCCTGCTCTAGATGATTCTAGCCCCAGATGCCAAGTCTTTTCAACTGAGGCCCCAGACTTCAGGGAAAAGATAAATCATATCTACAATACCTTGTCTTAATTCTTCCTCACTGGTGAACATAATAAAGGTTGTTTTAAGTCACTAGAATAAAATCCAAGTAGAGCTGTTTACTATGTCCAAAAAGCATGTAAAATTAAAGCTTAGGAGAGAGGTAGTATGGTAGAGGGATAGATCACCAAACTTTTTTTGTAACGGGTCAGAGAGTAAATATTTTTGGCTTTGTGAATCCATAGTCTCTGTTGTAATGACTCAAGCAACTGAACTCTAACACTACTGGTAATGTGAAAGCAGCCAAAGAACAAATGAATGAGTATGGCTGTGTTCTAACAAAACTTTATTTACAAAAACAGGTAGTGGGCAAGATTTGGTCTGAGGACCATAGTTTGTCAGCCTCTGGTACGGAGAAAAGAATAAAGCCTTTATAAGAAGACCCTGGTTCAAAAATCCCTTCTCTGCTACTTAAGAAGTCTGACTAGTCTCAACTTCCTGGACCTTCAACTTTCTTTTCTGTCAAAATAGAGTGAATAATACCTACCTTGCAGAATCATTAAAATATATGGAATAGAATAGGCACACAAATTGTAGTTTAATTATTTTTTTAACATTAGAATTAAAAAGAAATAGTAAAATTTTCTATATAAAGGTGATTGTTAAAGCCATTAGGATAAAGTTTCTTAGGGAGTAAATCAAGCATAGGATTTAACGTAGGGGTACAAAAATAGAAAAGGAGAAACAAGGGAAAAGTAGAGTCTAAGAAAAAGTACCTAGGGAGAAAAAAATAGAATAAGAAAAGTCAAGAAAGGATGGAATTCCAGAAAAAGAATCATCAGTAGTAGTGTTTCAGAAGGGCTTCCCTTTTGTTTAAAGCTAATCCCTCCATGATGCTCTTGACAAGATCCTGTCCTGTTTCTTTCAAAATCTTCCTTATATTAGTTAATCCCCTTTCTACACACACACACACACACACACACAGACACGAGTCCATTCTCACTATTCACGGCAGTTAGGTTCTGTAAAGTTGCTGTGAATATTGAATTGGTGAATACTGAACTGCAGCTCTTAGGGGAAACACTGGGTTAGTTTCCCATGAGCCTATGGTGACAACGTTTTCATCAACTGATTGATATATCACCTTGTTTAATGTGTCTTTCTGTTTAAAGACACCTTTATTTCACATGTACTGCTGATTCATTAATATTGAATTCATGAGCAACAGCACAGTAACTCATGCCTGAATGGGAGTGATAAATAGTGGCTGTGAAGCGAAAATACTGAAAATACCGTTCAATATTAGTCATCATTTCCTCTATCTCTTTGGACTTGTGACATGAACAGCTGGGTGCGGTAATATAAATGAAAGAGGAAGTAATTTGCAAATCAGTGGTTTCAAATGCAAATGTTGCAGTCTATACATATGTACTAGCCGTTGATGATATGGATTAACGAGCTGCTGAAACAGTTCTAATTTTGCTTTATAATTTACAGGTCTGAGAAACATGAAGCTTCAAATATTTATCAAAATTAAGAAATGCTAATTTTATTAGTGATGTGGAGTCAAAATACTACATCAATCAGCAAATTCATAACACTGGCAGAAAAGGAGGGCTATGCTTGCTAGGCACACTACGGTTCCCATTCCTAGTTCCAGGAAGTGTCCAATGGGGTGGGGACAGTGGTCTGGACCTGAGTCCCAGCTCTATCCCTCACTGATTGGGTAACCTAGGACAAGTAAAAATCTTTCTACAATTCTGTCTTTACATCTGTTAAAAAAATTTTTCTTCCAGCTAACATTCATTCTATAATTCTAAAGCAGTGGTATAGAGAACCAAGGTTAAAAAAGAATAAGTCTCATACACTTAATCCTTCTCTCTCTTTTCACTTCAAATTATACCTTCTTTAAAACATGTTTTATTGTTTCCTTTCCCAGTCAAAGTTCCCCATGATATTCATTTAATTTTTATTATTCTGTCATTAAAAAAAGTATTCTTATTTCAATAGGGAAGTATACATCTATTAAAAATGGCTCAAGAATAAACTATTTTATGTAAATGGCTTCATTTAACCAAAAAGATCAATGTTATTTAATGTGACCCCTGTAAAGTAGAAATGAATCTTTTCGGATTATCCCAAGGGTTCTGAAGAGCATGTAGCAGGGGTATAATCAGATTTATAAAGTGATACAAGCACTATGGAACAAATAGAATAAAAATCCAGCATGGAAACAATCATGATTTTTAAAAAACGTATCAAGGGCATTTAACATTTAAATTAAAAAAAAAAGACATGGAGAAACTATTAACTTCTGGAATGAAGCATTTTTATCACACCATGTGCTTTTAATAAAAATAAAGCAAAGAACCAAAACATGATTATAAATTATGGGTCATTCTAATAATATAACAGGTCAATACTATAAACACAATGAATGCAATTAAACTTCAGATAACCAAACCAAAATACATCTATTTATAGCTTCAGTAAAAGACAAACATGAAGACTGAAAACACAAGCAGAAAGATGAGAAACTTCAACATTCAAGAAACATCAGAGGTGTTTTAGATTAGCTAGTCTTAATCTAAATCCTGCCCTAGGCCTAGATATTCTGATTCAGCTGGACTGGTATGGGGCATAGAAATCTTTCTCTCTCTCTTTTTTTTTAAAGATACTCAAATTACCCTGATGATAACTGAGGTTTGAACGATGCTGTCTTAAAAGAATGTATTCAAAGGGCTGGCCGAGTGGCGCGTTGGTTAGGACTTGGCTTGGGACACCAGCTCTGAGCAGCAGGGCCCCAGTTTGGATCCCACATGAGGGCCAGTGACATTGTGCCCTCCACAGCTAAGATGGTGAACAACGCTGCCGTGAGTCGACAGCGATGGCATAGGCTACAGCGGGGCTTGCTGGCAGTGGGCGTGAGCTTTTGTGAGCTGCTGTGAGGGGCTGTCCAATGGCCGGCGAGCGACTGCCTCACCCAGGGAAAAAAGCAATGATAATACCAACATGGGCCACTGAAGCAAAGTCCTCCACAACTAGACTGAAGAACAAAAGGATAGCAACTTGTCTGTTCCCCTTCCCCGATTCCCCAACGCTGTTCCCCTCCCCTAGCTCCCCAATATAATCTTAAAAAAAAAAATGTATTCAAGGGACAGCCAGTTCGCTCAGGTGATTAGAGAGCAGGCTCATAACACCAATGTTGCTGGTTCGATTCCCACATGGGTCAGTGAGCTGCGCCCTCCACAACTAGATTGAAAACAATGACGTGACTTGGAGCTGATGGGTCCTGGAGAGCCACCCTCCACAACTAGATTGAAACAACTACTTCACTTGGAGCTGATGAGTCCTGGAAAAACACAGTTCCCCAATTAAAAAAAAAAATGTATTCAAATACAAGGCTCATGTAACTTTGACATGCATTAAGGGTAGTATGCCTCATATAGAGAACACACTTAAAAGGAGCTTGAAGAATACTGAATTATTGTTAAAGATTAGAAGATACCAATACAACTCCTTTCAGTGAGGCCCAGAGTGGTTCTCAACTGGGGGTCAAATAAATGCTGGTTTTTAATGTCATCTCAGAGGCTGAGCATACACCAAACCAAATATAGTTGACCCTTGAACAACACAGGTTTGAACTGCACAGGTCCAGTTATATGAGGATTTTTGTCAATAAGTATTGCAAACATTAGTTGCCTTATGATTTTTCTTAATAACATTTCCTTTTCTCTAGCTTACTGTAGAGAAGAATATGGTTTGCAATACATAGAACATACAAAATATGTGTTAATTTACTGTTTATGTTATTGGTTTAAGGCTTCTGCTTAACAGTAGGCTATTAGTAAAGTTTCTGGAGACTAAGAATTTATGTGTAGACTTTTGGGTTTTTGATTGCACGGGGGTTAGCACCCCTAAATCCCGCATTGTTCAAGGGTCAACTGTAGAAGTAGATGACCATAACAATGCCAGGCCAGAAGCTAATATGGTGCAAATAAAGTGATTACCTTCTCAAAGTGTAGTCGAGATAGAAGCACTGGGCTGCTTGATTGAGGGCTCTTGTTGTACGAGGGGTAATACTTGTCAGGGTCTCTCCACTCTGGGAGCCTCTGTTGGCCCTGCCGATCATGATAGGCACAAGCTCTTGTGAGTACATCTCTAGGTAAGTGACAGGATGTTCGTCCACACATTCTTCAACGCTGCCTCTCACAACCTTTAGATCACAAAACATTAGGAGGTTTGTATTTCTCAAATATTAGATTTTAGTCCTTTATTCACAGCATTGTCTCAAGATTCCCACATGATTCTACTTCCCAGCACCAACTGTGGTTCTGTGCAACCATCTGTCAAGTTTTCCTCAGGAAACTTTCCCCAAGAAAACAGGACTATGCCTGTTTTGTTCACTAAGCCCACTGTCTAGTTCCCTGCAAGGTAGTAAATAAAGTATGAGGTGCTCCATCAATACCTGACTGAACGCAAGAAAACAGATTTCTCTGAGGTTAATTTTTTCAGTTTAATTTTTCAGTCAAGAAAGGAAAAAGGGGGTACCTGTGGTCACTTCTGGAGCCACTAGCTCCTTCCTGTGGGTGTCTTTTCCCTACTCCTTTTCTTTCTCTCCTTCCTGAGGTTAATTAGGGCCTCACACCAGCGAGCAACTGCCAATCTCCATGATGGCGACCAGGGCCGCGAGGACGCTAGCCCTTGGTGGTATGAAAACTCACCCTCTTCCAACGTGGCTCCTTTCTGACCCAGTACCAGGGACTCCCAGGCCGCACACCGCCCCGGGCTCCTGGCCCAAGTCTAGGCGTCAAGTTGGCCCCAAGGCCGCCCGCTGGCACCATCTCACCGCTCCGCTCCGGGGCTGGTGTCCGGCCTCCGGCCCCATCCCGCCTCGCCCCCAACTCGGGCCCGGCCATCCGCCCCGTCCCACCTCATCCCCGCCGGCCGCTCGCGTCGCCTCACTCCTCT